TCTGGACAACCGAATGAGGAACATATTAGCAGTTTGGAGGGAGCCATTATTTCAGCTAGAGTTTTGACCCTGTAATTACGCATTGGTAAAGGGATCAAAATGGCATGGAGTTTGAAGACAGTGATTCTCACCTCAGCTTTTTAACACGCAAAATCATTCCGGATGACCGAATGAGGAACGGGTTAACAGTTTGGAGGGAGCTGAGTCATCAACTTAGCTAAAGTCGACCCTGTAATTACGTACGGGCAAAGGGATCAAAACGGCTTGGAGATGGTGTCAAGACTGTAAGATATGGATGAACCGAGCGACGTTCGGATAAGGTACAGATTGTCGTCCGGGGAATCGGAACTATGGTTTTAAAAAATCTCGCCTCAGTCATTAACTTTATTTGGAAGCGAGTCGCCCTTTTAGCTATAAGTAAGGAATGACCCGATCCGGTGACCTTGCTTACAGTTTGAAAAGAGTTACCTCAGACCCCTAATATGGATGATACGAGCCAGAGAGAATAGTTCGGAATGCATCGGAATTGTTGGTTTCGAAGGGAGATAGTCTCACCTCAGCTTGTTAACACGTGGGATCATTCCGGATGACCGAATGACGAACGGGTTAACAGTTTGGAGGGAGCCCCTGTCCCAGCTGAGAGTTTGACCCTGTGGTCACGATTAAAACGGCTTGGAGGAATTCACCTCAGCTAAGAGTTTTGACCCCGTGGATCACGAACGGAAAAGGGATCAAAACGGGCTCGGGAAAGGTGTCAGAACAAATTTGGAAGAGAGATAGTCTCACCTCAGCTTGTTAACACGTGGGATCATTCCGGATGACCGAATGACGAACGGGTTAACAGTTTGGAGGGAGCCCCTGTCCCAGCTGAGAGTTTGACTATGTGGTCACGATTAAAACGGCTTGGAGGAATTCACCTCAGCTGAAAGAATTTTGACCCCGTGAATCACGAACGATAAAGGGATCAAAACGGGCTCGGGAAAGGTGTCAGAACAAATTTTGAAGAGAGATAGTCTCACCTCAGCTTGTTAACACGTGGGATCATTCTGGATGACCGAATGACGAACGGGTTAACAGTTTGGAGGGAGCCCCTGTCCCAGCTGAGAGTTTGACCCTGTGGTCACGATCAAAACGGCTTGGAGGAATCCACCTCAGCTAAGAGTTTTGACCCCGTGGATCACGAACGGAAAAGGGATCAAAACGAGCTCGGGAGAGATGTCAGATATATAAAAAAACATGAGCCGAGTGATGTTCGGCAATATAGAAAGGATTATGAGCAAGAAAAAGCAAAGAAAAAACAGAATAGAGACATCAACAGTTAGAGAGAAAAGCCCAGTTTATTCTTCGGCATTACTAGCCGAAATATACAAGAAGAAGAAAAAGACAAGAAAGCAAAAATTTGCAAGGCTATGCTACTGAAGGATTGCCGTTCGGGGAAGGTGGAGGTTGAGAGCTCCCTGCCTGCACTGCATCATCAGGCGCTGCTTTTGACCTTTTCTCCATAATCCGGTCGTATGTGTTCCCGAACAGATCGTCAAAGCCTAATTCATCAGGGTCGAACGGCTTGGGGAAATGTTCTAGGATCAAATCAAGGTTCCTATCCAAAAGCGGGTCCTGACTTTGCATCACAGTTTTCTCGGTCAGGACATCCAAGAAAGATTTCCCTTCCGGCGTGCTGTCTAGGAGATCAATCCCTGCCTTGATGGGATCCTCGCTTTCACGTAAGAATTGGCCAAGATGAGGTCCCAGGAATTGTCGGGCCGTGTTCTCCAGAGCGACGTTCAACCCTTTGCCTCGTTGAAAATCAACTATCGATTGGTGTGCAATCTGAGAAGTGTTGACCGTATAAGGTTCGGGCAGATGGTCACCAACGGCTTTATCAAATTTGATCCCGGCGGATTCAGCAGCCCGCACCTTGGCCCGGAGTTCTTTAATCTCCCGGTCGTGACGTCGGGATTTTTCTTGCATTTCAGCCAGAGCAGTTTTTGCCTTCTCACCTTCCTTGGCCTGCTCTTGTAGATCAGCCACTAATTTCCGAGCGGCAGAAAGAAGGACCTGGTTGTCATCCCGATCGCTGGCCAGGGCCTTCATTTCCTTTTCGGCCGCAAGAAAGGCCTTGTGATAGTATACACTGGCCTGAAAACAAGTTGCAAAGGAAGTCAAATAAGATAAACAAATAAAGAATAGGAAGGTGTGGATCAGAATGAAGCGTACCTTGAGTGCTTCTTGATGACCTGCTTCAAAAAGATCTGACCAGTGAGTCAAGTTCGTGAAACTGGGGGGAACCTTAATCGCAGTATGACACCACATGGAGGATGGCATCAGCCCGAACAGGTATCTCCCTTCTGATCTGGGTCCCATGTTCGAAAACTCAACAAATATCCGATCATCGATCGGCGCGTCAGAAAGAGCTGGAGTTGTTGTTTTGGCAGAAATATTTTTTGGGTTCAGCTTCCGACCCGGTCAAATCAACCACGTGGTCGATCGGGATCAATATGTTGCCATCATTTCCCTTGCGTTTCTTTCGGGTTTGCTCCGCAGAGGCATGATCGGCTATCAATTTCTCCTTGCCTTTTCCAGAGGAAGCTGTCAGAGTAGCGGAAGATATAGAACGCCGGACGGGTATGGGGGATATCACACCTACAAAAGAAGGGAATAAGAGATAAGAAGCTAAAATTGAAAGAAGGAATGACGATCGGGTTAAAGCCCTGTTACACTTACCAATCCCGGCAGATAGCATGTTAGAAGTGGTAATAAAACCACGAAGACTTCGGGTTCCTCCCATCCGCAAAGATTCAGCTTGGGAGCGTAAAACAGCATCTACTCTAGGCTGAGAATCCCGAACGGGATAGGCGTTCCACCTATCCGGAATTGGCAGAGAATCACCTACCCGAACAAACAGAAAACGCTCCTCCCAGTCAGCCGGCGGGGTGGGATTATCTGTGAACAACTGACGATCAGAACGAGCTACCAGCTTCAGGTACCCGGTCGTCCAATAAGGCTGATAGCAGTAGTGATGGAGGAATAAGTCGACACTTGGAACGATCCTCAACTCGTGGCATCGAATTATGAAGCCTGTAAGAATGCGGTAGGTACTGGGCACGAACTGGGCAGGGAGTACAGAAACCCGGCGTAAGAACTCCACGATGAACGAATGAAGAGGGAAGCGAAGCCCAGCAATCAAAGCGTCAAGGTGCACTAGCACGTGCCCCGGTCGATGCCTCATTGGGTGCCGAATGAATCCAGCATAATATTCTCTTGGTGGGGGCAATAATTGGCTAAGTTGTCGTTCGATATCTTCTGGGAGGCTTTGTTTTTGTTTGCGTATATGAGTAAAATGTAGGGGAATGCGGGGTGGCCGCTCGGGCATTCCCTTGTTATAGACCTGGACATCGTCCCCTGATAGGCATCCGTCATCACGTGGCTGTTCGGTCCTTTTTCCTGTGAGAGGATTGCCGGAGTTAGGTGTTTGGGAAGAAGAGCCTTCGGCCTTGTTACCAGCAGATGTTTTTCCTATGCGAATCAACGGCATTTCTTCAGATTCTGAGCTAGAAGGGAAATACATAAAATCACTTGAGGAATTCTGGGAATTCTAGAGAGAGAAAGCTTGAAAATACGCAAGAGAAATCTGAGCTTAGGAGGAAAAATGAGGAAACAGCAAGAGAAATGAGGGGAAAGCACCTCTCTATGAGGGAAAGTGCCGCACAAAACCCTAATCCATGAGCAACATGTGGCATTAAGTAGTTATGATTAATCAGGGGTATTTATGGTTCATCTTTAGGCACGTACCTTGAACGGGTAATAAAGAAACATGATTGTGAAAACTGGCTAACCAGGCAAACGAACGTCTAACGGGCACTTACGTTTTGAGGCAAATCTTTTCACAAAGAAAAAAGCAACGAGGTCCATAGGAATGGCTAAAAACTACTCAGATCGCCGATTACCGAGTGACGAACGGGCTCACAGAGAATTAACAAAGATCACAGAGACTTGCTGGTTAGAAAAACTGTCAAGTCCTAAAAAATGATCAGAAGCCCGAACGGCTATCAACATATGAAGGAAGCTAAATGTGGTGGATTATCAGAAACGTCTGAAGCCAGAAAAACTGCTAAGTCCTAAAAAATGGTCTGAAGCCCGAACGGCTACCAACATATGAAGGAAGCCAAGTGCGGGTAGACTATCAGAGACATCTGAAGCCAGAAAAAACTGCTAAGTCCTAAAAAATGATCTGAAGCCCGAACGGCGATCCTTGGTAAATTATCAGAACCCTCCGATGCCCGAACGGCGATCATACGGTGTTAGGAGTGTTAAGTAAAAATTAAAGTCAGAAAATTGATTAAGTCCTACAAAACGGGCCGAATCCTGAATGGTGAGCAATCATTCAATAAACGCAAAAAATACAGTATAAGATGTTTTGTGCAAAACAAAAGATCTGTATTCATCGGCTCTACTGGCCGGGAAATACAAGCTACTTGAATAAAAGAGAATTACAACGATTAATAAAAAGTTAAACATCTAGATTATTGGCCAGGGGCCATCTCCTCTCCATCTTCATCCTCGTCTTCATCATCATCAGATGGGGGTTCAGGCTCTCTCCCAGCAGCCCGATCAGCTTCCCGTTGCAGATCTCGCTGGAACTTGTCAAATTGAGCTTGTATGATTTCATCCTGGGGAAGATCAGAAGCCTGAACCGGCCTCCCAAGATTGTTTTGAAGTTGGGCTACAAAAGGACGTAGCAGGACATGGCCGATCTTGGCATAGAGATCTGCAACAATGGAGTCATTCCATTTCTTGCTCTCAGGATCCTTATCCAAAAGAGCCACCCCTGCCGAGAGCCGACCAGCACCCTTAGGAAACCCCTTCAGGTACGCTCCAAATGCGAACGGGATTTGCGTCCTGGCATGATCATCCTTGATGATGGAGAATTCATCGGAGGATTTGAATGCTTCCCGGACAGCGGATAGATCCACATTCACCTCATATGGGCCGTCCGGGATGTTGGAAGGCATCTCCTCAAACTTGATTTGTGCAGCCTCGGCAGCGATGACCTTCTCTTGGGAAGCAGCAAGTTGGACCCGAAGGGTACCAAGCTCAGTATCCAGCCTTTGTTTTTCCTCCGCAAAAGCTTTCCGTTCGGCCTCCAGAGAGGTGATGGCAGCAGCAGCAGTTTGCTCAGCAGAGGATTGAGCAACGATTAGTTCTCGTTCCTTGGCCAGACGGGCTTCCCGCATTTGCAAAGTGTACAAACCCATCTACAAAGCACCATTCGATGGTTAGTACTGATTACAGAGAATAAAATAAAAACAAAGCGCAAAAGATAATATACCTTCAGTGCGGTCAAGGCCAGGCATTCTTCGGATTGCTCGACCGGTAACTGGGGAAGGGAGAAATTGTTGAACCAGGAAGAGGTTGACCAGATCTGGCTCGCGGTAGAACCAGCTCTCTCTAGCACCTCATGAACAGGATCCGATAAAGAGATCTGTTTGACCTGACCAGTGATATGGTCGGTATGATTCCCGCCTACGTTCGAGGTTTCCCCCTGAACGGAATCAAAGTGTTGGGAAAACTGATGCAGCTGATCAGAATCAAAGCGGTCATCGATCATCATGGCGTCATAATGATCCTGACCAGAGAATTGCTGAATAGGCTCCAGTTGCTGAACGGTCGGTGCAGGTTCGGGTTGTGGAGCGGTAGTGGTGGGTGAATCAACTTTTGGATTCCTCTTCATTTTCTTCTTCCTTTTCCCGATCCCGCCAGCAAGAAGCACACGGCTGTCATCCATAGTAGCGTCTGGATTGGGAGCTGAAAAATGACAAAGGGAAATGTTAGTACCGAGCGGCCTTTAGCATGTGAGAAACTAGTAACAAGAAGGGAACGTTTCTCGCACGGGAAGGACCGCCCGGACTATGGCACTTGATTCTCAAAACAAGTAAACCCAAGAGAACGGGCAGTACCTATCCCGGCTTTAACAAGCCGATCGGGAGTCAGGTAGGTCATGATGTCACAACACTTGCCCTTCTCCACAGCGAGTACGTCCTTATAGATTTCCTCAGTGAGGATCGGGTCGGGAGTCTTGCGGGGAAAGGCGTTCCATTTATGAGGGATCAACCCGTCCGGGATAGACACAAAGAAAAACCTATCTTTCCATCCCTTGATTGGGGCTACTTTGAAAAATTGATGAAATAAATCTAAGGTCGGCGAAGCACCGACATCTTTGCAACGACAGGTAAAGCCCGCCATTGCCCGATAGGAGTTCGGCATGACTTGGGCAGGTACAATTTCATAAAAATTAAAAAATGAAATTAAAAAAGGATGTAACGGAAATCTAAGCCCAACCCTCACTGAATCAAAATGGACCACGATCATCCCAGGGGCGTGACGCAGGGGATGAAGCCCAGCTTGCAATCGAAAGTCCACTGGGTCTGGGATTAGGGCCGGAATTTCGGCCCTATTATTGGCAGTCAATTTCTGCCGTCTTGCCCTAATTAAACCTAGGTCGAGGGAATGATGGGGGACATCTTTTGGCCGTCCAGCCGCCATTAAATCCATTTCATCCTCGGATTTTGTGCCATCAGAGTTTTCACCAGAGGAAGATGAAGTGCTAGGAAGGTCCTCCGCCTCAACCCTAGTATTTGTCGCCGTTTCAGTAGAACCACCGGCGAATGGGACTGTGATGACATCCACAATAGCAGCGTCACGGTCATCTCCATGGGAGGCCATCTCCGAATCAGGAGAATGCTGCTGAGAACTCATCTCGACCGAGCCAGAAATGAGGAGAAAGAACAGAGGGAGGAAAGGTACCTGAGCGACGAAAGCTGGGAGAAATTTCAGAGGGAGCAACGATGTGAGGGAGATTGCAGAATCGAAACCCGGATTTGAAAGGTTAAGGGCTAACTTATAGCCTTTAAATTGCCGTATCGAGGACCAATCAGGAAGCGACACGTCATCAGAAGCATTTAAGCTAAACGCGTGTCCAATGAAAAGACTAAACGACGGTTAACATGATAGAAATGGGGAAATGAAACGACAGCCGTCAAATCACAGCATGGGGAACTGACTACTTCTGATCCCCGATCGCCATTCGGCAATTTTCAACATTGGTGTTCATACTTCCTAATGCACTCACTGTCATTCGAGACATCGGAAGTGGGGGACTTGTGTTGGGATATTGATCCAGAGGCCCAATACCCGGATCAAGAAGGCCCAAGATACCCGGCCCAAACAACGGGCCCATCACTCTATGATGAGTTGATCCAGTGAAGATTTCATGCTGAACGAGATTCGGCCCAAGTAAGGGTTGGCCCAGTAAGAAGACATACCGAACGGGATTCAGACTATATATCATACTTGGGCCAATTTGACAGTGTCTTCAGCATAGTCCAACATCCCGTTCGAGCAACGGACAACCGGCAAGTGGCCAGGTGCAACTAATGCCAGATTGTAACATCAGCAAGTGGGAACATGGGTGACCAAGTCGGTGGAACAACAGCCAATCAGCATAGGGCGGCCCATGCTCTTCATTAGTATAAATAGAAGGTTCAAAATCATTGTAAGGGTTAACATTTCAATACTCAGGCTCTAGAATAGCATCATTGCTCTTATTTCTTGTATTAAAGCATTGTTTCCGACCTACCGATCGGGAATTTCCTTGTAATCAGACTGGTTAGTTAATACAAGTGAGCTTTCAAGTATTAGTGAGTTCATATTTTATATTTTGGTTATACACTTTGATTCTGTATCATTCCTGATATATCCAAAGTTCGTGTTGGGCTTTCGGATCTACGGGATTTACCTTCAACACCTTGTATAGTAGATCATCAGCCGATCACATTCTAATGAGAGAAGATTGACTATAAATGTGAAATTATTCTGGGATTACGTAAATGTGAGATTATTATGAAAATGATGGAATTATTGTTGTCATTTTCTCCTTAAAGTAGTGGACAATCAAAAATAAAAATTAACATCCTTAAAAGTTACTCATCTAACCCAACAAACACTCCAGCTATATGAATTGTTTGGTTTTGTGATTTGTAAGTATTACACATCTTTTCTTTCATAGATGGACTTCCAAAACAATAATATACATCTAAAGACAATTGCTAATGGGGGTTATTGGATAAAATGTTTGTCAATTTCATCCTCCATTTTTTTTATTCAATGACACTTTAGTATTCGATTTTAATTTTTTTCATTTTCAACTATGGTGACATAGACACTTTAGGTGCCCGTTTTTATAGTTTTGTATATTTAGTCCTTCCATTTTTCTAAAAGTGACTTTTAGTTCTTTATCTTTTTCATAATAAATGGAAGACTAAAAATGTCCCAATAATGATTAAAAATCCAAAGTGTCACTTCTACAGCAATCAGAAGTTCAAAGTCAAGAAATGAAGTCTCTCTCACAATATTCCAAGGTGTCCGTGACAATAGTTAGATGACTAAAAAGTACAACAACTCTATTGCGGTAATGAAAACTCTAGAGGACTGTCATTATTTACAACGCTGACAATTCTACTTCACGATTGCAAGGTCGATATGCCACAAAAGTGCCATCAGTCGAAAAGGAGCCAGGATTGAAGCAAGTAATACCAGTGTACTTAAATGCTTTCTGCTCGCATTTGTCCCCCAAAACTATCTGCCCCATAATATATACACCAAGAACGATTAAAATCTTCGAACTATATAAAAACATTTACGCACTTCAAGCATATTCCAACCGCCATATTCCCCAGCAATCCACTGTGTTGTTAACTACTTAAGTTTAACTTCATGCTTAATTTTCCTTACTTCTATTGTCAATTTTTTAGTGCTTGAAGCTTCCGGTTACCTACAAACTGCAAGATTTGAGATTCATCTTCATCAATGTTAAAAACTGTGTAATATGAGAGCATACCCAAGCCCATGGGCTCAGGGAGTTATACGGCTTTTGCCTCAAGACATGAATATCTAATCTTAATGATTCTTAAAGTTGAAAGACATAGGAAAATAGCTTAATCAATTATAAGTATTTATTATTTGATGGTAAAAGAAGCTCAATGAATCATTACTACATTAGATCAGACTAAAGTATCTCTAAGAACCTAAGAAAGAATTGGCTAGTGACTTATAGTGTACGAGTTTGTTGTTCAAGGTGAAGGTTTGGCTTAAGGCTGTTAAATGTTAGTGGGCCCAGTGTAGTCAAAGTCATAAGGAGCCCAACACATTATTAAATTATGACCTATTCATCAACTTTCAAATTTTACACAACACCCATCTGAAAGGCTACTAAATCGTCAAGGAAATCGAATGAGTGTCTTTGATAATTAATTCAGGTAGGAATACGAAGTACCGTGTGTGGAGACGGGTAAAGGTGGAGGCTGTGATCATAATTCCATATAATGGGTTGCACAGTGAGAGGGAGGGGGCATAGATGGCTTTGATGAGTAATAGTAGCAACAAGCTGCAGCAGACAAACAAAAACATCACATTGTCAAATGGATTCTTATAATTTATGATACAGGGGTATCTATGCATAAATGAGGATAGTTAAATAATACTTACATGCTCAAATGGATCGCTGGTCTCGTCGGTAGAAGGTGGCATTATGCATGACCTGCGCATTCTGTAAAGCATGTCCTGCCGGAAAAATACTATCTCTTGTGTGTAAAACTTGATTCTGCTTTCAACACAAGGAGCACAATTTTTTTTAAAAAGCACCATAATCATAAAGCTGTAATAAGTATTTTTCTTTAGATCAAGTCAAAGCAATAGTCTTAGGGGCATTTCTGAATCTATTGTGATAGCAAGTCATTACGAAGGTCCTCGCAAATGAGTTCCCAAATGAATAACAAGAAAAACAACAAGAGTAATTATAAGAATCCCCCTTTCATCCCAATTTGTTCCTCCCATTTGCTTTTATATGCAGTGGAAATGTGGAATTGTGCGGTTGAGATTCATTTAATAGAAGAAAAAACAGAGTTAATATGAAGCACACAAATCTTCCCTCATAAAGAAATGATAACTCTTTGGGATTACCCAAAAAACGAAAGTGAATAACATTTGGGATAGAGTAATAATAATCAACTTTCTTTTCTGCTTGGACACTAGAAAAACTATGTTGTGTGAGTTAGTCAATGCTCAAGTAAAATAAAAGTATTAGTATGAACTAGGGTCAGAATAGATCCTCCACTAAACACAACTAATCCAATAAAGTACACCTGCATGGGTTGCTAGAGAATATGGCGGTTGGAATATTCTTTTGAAGTTCTTCGGTAATGTATTTTGGCAAACGGCATCTAGGCAACACTGTTGAAGGACCTGAACATGAAGATATTAGTTAACAACTGCATTTTGCTTCCTAAAGATATTCTAAACAAACATGTGATGATTTATTCAACAGACCTACATCATCAGGACCAGGAATGAAAAGAAACCGACTATGCTCTTTCAGTCGTTGATGGGATGCAATAAGTTCCCCAAGTTTTCCAAACTGTGACCTAGACATTATGTTGATTGCTACTTTTATTGTAAGCTCAAGTGGCTGACACAACTGGACATACAAAGCAACATTAGCTTAACATGTACCTGAGACTTGCGAAAGACTTGAAGGAGAGGTTGCATGGATGAGAGCAGAAATTTCCCATAAAAACAAATAATGAAGGAACCACCTCTACATCTTCATAACCACTAAGGATAATCTCTAGATTTCTCATAGTCTTCTCTAAGGAAAAGTTAATAGTGAATTAGAATTTATAATTCTCAGTACAAAAAGAAAAAAACTAAACTTACAGGAAAACTTTATACCTCTTCATTGTCCAACCATATATCAGAGAGGATGACAAACATGTCATTCACAGCTCTTTTTTCCAGCTCTGCAAGTCTTAGCTATTTCAATGGTTAAGAAAATTTGATGTGTGGCATTTGAAAATTTGCATACAAAATTTATAAGAACATTTGACAGGTTATAAATATTACTCAATTTGTTAGTAGTACTATATTAGATGTTACTGAATCTTGTAAAGGATACAGTTTCCTCATTTGTTAGTATACCACCACCAAAGAAGTCAATCCCTGAAAAAAATGAAGTGGACTTTTCTCGGTCTTCTAGAGGAGGAAACCCACATGTCCTAACCTATCATAATAATTATCAGGAAATTAATAATCACAAGAGAAGCAAAAGAAAGAAACAATAAAATTCAAGGAAAACAGCATTTAACTGATTAATAATGTTGGTCTAATAGTAGCAAGACATATGTATTATGAAACAGCAATAGAATAACTATGAATGTAGCATCTATAAATTCCACCATACTCCATATATATAACATCAAAGAATTTGAACCATAACTTATCCGCCTACAATCAGTGTGACGAAACAGCAATAGAATAATTATGAATGCAGCATCTATAAATTCCACCTAAACGCTGTACATGTAAGCTCACATATGGCAATCTATTGCCTTCAAAAGGTTTCAGTATGTGAAAAGGGTCCTTACTATTTTCATCGGAACAGATTTTCAAATCAAATTTTAAAACTGAAGTTAAAAACTGGGATTGTGCAATAAAGCAATTTATATTCACAATATGCAAAACAAAGCAAACTAATAAAGTAAATTTAAGACATGTACAAGACAAGAAAGGAAATCAGACCTTAAAAACACCATCCAGCTGCATTTCACCTTCGGCTAAGACAATTGTGTTTTCTACAAAAAATCCTGTTGTTATTTTGTATACCTTGTTAAGGAAAATTAACATCTTGGTGTCAACTTCAACTATAAAATAAACAGTAAGTTCAAGTGAAAGAAAATAAATAGATGGAGTTTGATGATGATGCAAAGTAGAAATTAAGAATCAGTGGATTACAAAAAAATAGAATTACGAAGAGTTTTTAGCTGAATGTTTTACTCCATGTTTCTCTGTCTACAGTGGTTGCTATTTAGACACTCCGTTCTGCGTATTCGAATGATCCTTTATATGGAGGAAACATGTTTTCATGAAAAAGCTACATGATGGATGAGCTTCAAGAGGGAAAAAGGATATTGATTCAGATAAATTGACTTTCACCGCTGCATTAAGATCTTCCAAGAAGAAATGACCATCTTCCAATTGAGATATTACACCCATAACCCATTTTCGTCCTATCTGCCCGACCAGGGATTGGATTGGAGATATCTGCCAATGGCCAACATCAAATTTATTACTATAAGCAAAATTATCAGAAGCTGAATTTGAAATTAGCGTATACTTTAATTATGTGTGTTTCCTATTCCAGGAGGGAGCATCTCATAACTGCTTACCTCGCAGCTGCCGTACTCAGAAATGGTGCTGCCAAAAGCAGGTTTGGAAAAGCGAGGATCACGAGAAAGCTTTTGGAAAGACATAAGGAACCTGTCCTTGTATAAGGTGGCTTTTGCAGAGGCATCACCATGAATTGGAAGCCTCCCTGCATGCCTACAAACCAAAGAATGCCCATGTGATTGACAATCATGGATTTTCCAGTTTTAATGTTCACTCTTTAGTACATGTTGATAATATGAAGGGAAGCAAAACCCAGTCATTCAAATAGCAAAGGGGGTTGTAATTTGAGTAATTTAGTATATGACAACACTTTTTTAAAAACATTTAAGTATACATTCTCTGAAATGAAAAAAATTATCATTAAAAACCCAGTCATTCAATACAGTGCACTTAACCATGAAGTGTAAGACGGTTAGGAAAAAAGGAAGAAGCTTCATATCACAACACCACTAATTCATGTACATTAAATAAAAACATAATCAAAACATAAAGATATGGTTGTATAAGGCATTCTCATACAGATATGTAATTAGGTATAGTTTATTTGAAACACTAATTTAAAAAACTCCAAGTAAATCAGATAAGCAGATGTACTTGGGGTCGAATGAAATATCATAATAAAAATAAAAAAAATGATTGACATCATTTGTTTTCGTACTCGTAGAAGATTTTCTTGACTGGATCATATCTCAATTTTGGGGCATCAAAGGCATCAATGACTCGAAGCGCTGATGCAGGGGAGCAGGAGCTACTAGGATTTTCCTCGACGGAGGCTTCTGCTTCCAGTAATAGGCTCACGACTTTGTGCACGGGCTCCTTGTCCAAAATCGCAGATTTCAGGGAAAGGTGGTGGAGCTCGTCCAGAAGGAGGTCGAGTGCTTCGTCGTGGGAGTCGGACGGGAAACGGTCAAGGAACGAGAGGACTTCCGACAGGGCATCCACTTTGAGAGTGTAGCCCCTCATTTTGAATTTCCTCTGCACTTTGTTCCTTGTTGCTCCTCCACTCATCTTTTCTCTCTCTCTACGCTGCACCTGCAATCTACCTTTGTGTGAGAATTGGGCGGGAGACGACACATTATTTAGGTCTGCTTCTCGAACATCGCCTGGGACACTTTATGTTAATTTAAGGTATCCTTCGTGTAATTATGCTTTAATGTTCAATAGTGTTCATAACTACGTGGTATAATTTAAAATTAATCCTCATTTAATATTCCCAACCTATGCTTTAATGTTCGTGAATACGGGAACTTCAAAAATTATAGGATACGGGTACGGGGTATATTTATAAATAATAATATAGAGTATAATTTGCAAATATATTTAATTCAGAGGTTCATAAATAAAATAATAATAATACCAAAAATTAACAATTAACAAAATTTTAAAGATTAGGCTAACAAACTAAAGTATTGATATTTCAATTTAAATTCAAATCATATTTTTGGTTGTCTATTTGCATTTATATTTAAGTCTTTTAACAAGATTAGTTTCAATTAAAGCTCATCGAGCAAAACAAATTGGCAAAATATAGTATTCCAATATATTCCATACTCCTGAAACCATCTTTACCTATGTTACACATCTTGTAGTCGCTTGGGCGGCTACTAAATTTTCGTCATGTCATGTATGAAATCAATGTATAGAGTTCGATACGCGTATCGGTTCACGGATACAGGTATCAGAAGTGTTTATATTTTTTAAAATAAGTCTAATACTTTTATCAAATTATGGATACGAACCCAATACATACAGGACGCGTATCGGTGAGTATTGGTATTAGATGCGTTTCAGATATGTGGATACGACATCTCGGTGAAGTATCAGTGCACCATAGTTCCAACCCTTACCTCCACTTTCTCATTCACCACTCTCCGTTTTGATTCACACTTTTATGTTTCAACCTAGAGAGAACCACAATTGGCGAAAATGATGTTCATATTAAATAGGTTTTACTTCGAATTTGTCCTGAAAAGAAGAATTGGGAGGAGAAAAGTAAGAGTGAGGGTTGTGAGTATTAAACAGGCATTAATTTGAATTCATCCCAATTTATTCTTATGAACACCTTTACTAGTTTGGATTATTTTTGTGGACAGTGTGAGTAAAGATTATTACTGTAGAATCCATAAAAGTATGGATTATTCTTATGAATTTCATCTTTTTTATATGTTTTTGTTTTGTTTTTTATAACGTTTTTATATGATCTTTGTGTAATTGTGTTTAAAATATGTTTAATGATTATGGTGTGAATATGTGAATAATGTGTAATACTCCGTATTTTTTAACACAAAATTTATATATTTGATATGCATGTTTTTAAAAATTATGTAAAATGCATGTGACAATATACATATGTGATACATTGTTCATGTAGACACAATATTGTTTGTTGATATAAAAATTATATTTTTTATTGAAATGATCCGATAAATATCATTAATTATCAATTACGTGTAAAATACATGAGAGTGTGATACATTTTGTGTAAATATAATATTATTTGTTGATATAAAAGGTATCTTCTTCATGTAAATGATTTTATAAACAATGTCAACTATAGATGAGAGGTATGTATTTTTTCTAAAATGTTTTATTTCTTGTTAGTTAATAGAAAAGTTACGTATATATTTTGTGGGAAATACATCTCTATGCAACGTGTAAATGTAATATGATTTTGTGTAATTAATGGAATATGAAAAACTTAGTTGAATTTAAAATATGTGATACTGTTATATTTTTATTATGTATTGTTTCACTATTAACTAGTTTCATTGTTTGTTGTTGTGGAAGAGGAAGAGGAAGCGGTTGTATTTGATGTAAAATGAATAAAAAGAATTGAAGAAGAAAAAGGAGTACAAAGAAAAAGAAATTAGAAATCAGCGTGCGAAGAAGAAGCGGATGTATTTTGTTGTAAAATGAATAAAAAAGAACTCAAGAAGAAAAAGGAGTACAAAGAAAAAGAAATTAGAAATCAGCGCGCGGAGAAGGAGAAACGGAGAAGAGTTGAGTTTTTTAAAATATAAGGTTAAATGACACTATTCGAGATGAGTGTAGCTTGTATAAACTCTATTGATCTCACGGTATAATGTGCACTTAGAATGTACAAACTGAATTAATGAACATCAATTCTTTCTCTTGTTGTCAAAATCGGGTCGAAAAGTGACACAGGCAAAAAACTAGGTCAAGGGTCAACTCAGGTCAGGGAGGATCGGACCAAGCAACAGTGAATTAAACCTTTAAATCTGTTTCCAACAATCAAACGAACAATAGAATAGAATGGAGAAGGAATAGAGGCTCCGATTCAATACCAAACTCATATAGAATTTCAGTATAGGGAATGAAACGGCCACAACTCTCACTTCCCTCTATGAATATGCATAAAATGCCTATTCTATGTTAGGATGCCTAGGGTTGCGAGCCTTTCCTCCAGACTTTATAGGTATGGGGTTAGGCTCATTACATAATGAGCCTATGAAAGAGACATACGGACCCTAACATTAAGTTGTCCATTATCTATTAATTAAATAAATTACAACACAAATACAAATATATAAAACATGATTGAACACTTTCCCCTTTGGTGTTTAATCATGTTCAATCAGCATTGTAGCGCTGATATCTTTGTGTTTCTGTTGAGTCTGCAATGTAGAGGACAGCGTAGATGAGATTTGTTGAATGCTCCTCTTTTGTCTTGATCTTCAGTGCAACTAAGCTTCTTGTATCTTCTTACAAAGGAATTGTGAAGAAATCCTCGTGATCTCTCTTTTGATGTCTTCTGCCAATTCGTCCTTTGATGTTAGGAGTCGAGGGATTCTTCAAAATCGTGCTTGTACTCCTTGCCTTTCAGAAGTTTCTCTTAATCAACTTGAATGAAATCCGATGACGCCTCTAGAATGAATGTTCTGAAGAGTTTCGGGCACAAACACAATTCATCTTCAGTATTTGATTGTCCGGCCTTTATTTCCTCCAGAATGTAATCTTTTTGGACTATTTGATGTCAAAGATCTTGAGGATCAATTATCAGTGACATAGCGGAAAATGATGGTTGACTCGTGACTTTTACTGAACATTAGATTTGAAGCCGATTGTGTAGTTATGAGTTGTAGAAAAAGTAGAGAGTTGTCGATTTTTTAAGTGGATGAAAGGTGTCCAAGAATGATTTGTTGAGAATAAGCAGCACATGGACCACTCTCCTCCTCATGACGATCCGATGAATCGGGACGTCATGCCTTTATTCATCCCTTTATTCTGGGTAAAAAACAAAAACTAAAATAAAGTGAAAAGGTATAATTGGAGACACGTGGTGTTCCGTTATCACAACATCAATGAAAAATCACTAATATGTGACCAATATATAATGATAGAAGTGATAAAGATTTTATAGGACTTCCAACAAATCATCGTGAGGCATCTAAGGTAGATATCACTCTGGTCGTTCTAGCATGATCAAAATGATCAACAAAGAAACTTGTAGCCCCCGGGTTCGTATAGACGCCCGTTATCATCACTATAGAGATGAACTCTAAAGTGATGGTCTGAACATGTTGGTGATTTTTATGTTGCAACATCAGGACTTCCTTCCAATCATTGGTCTACATCTATAGTAGATGAGCCTGTGAAAGTTCTTGCTGGTCATATGGACCCACAACTAACTCTAAAATGTGTCTTTGTCCTAGAAAATTCAAAACCTTTGGGAGTGAGATAACTAGACACGGCGTGATCAATGAAAGTTTAGCGGCATGGGACTGAGGGCCAATGTAGTTAGTATCAGTCGCGTAAGAAGGAGACGGTGATAATAGATGAGGTACCTCGTAAAATTTGATTAAGCATTTGTTTGTTGTGAGACACTCGAGTGGTCAAGAGTAGGGTTGTTGTTTGCCCCATTTCCAACAATCAAACGATGAAAAGAATAATGGTCGAGTAGAGATGAGAGGAAGAAAGATTAGATTCAATACCAAAATGTTAAAGAATTTTAGTACATGGTATGAAAAAAGATGGTGCTCTCTCTCACTCTACATCGACGAATGCTTAATCTATCGCTCGATTAGCTTCTCAATATGTTTGGTTTACATAGGGCAGCCCTCTTTATGTGGGTTTAGGAGCTTATATAAACCTATATAAAGATCACTACAAGGATTAGCAAAGAAACTTGTAGCCCCCCCCCCCCCCCCCCCCCCCCAATTCGTATAGACGTCCGTTATCATCAATATATAGATGAACTCTAAAGTGATGGGCTGGACATGTTGGTGATTTATATGTTGCAACATCAGGACATTCTTCTAATCGTTGGTCTACATCTATAGTAGATGAGCCTATGGAAGTTCTCGCAGGTCACATAGACCCATAAAATGACTCTAAAATGTGTCTGTGTCCTAGAAAACTCAAAACATTTGAGAGCGAGATAACTAGACATGTCGTGATCGATGAAAGTTTAGTGGAATGGGGCTGAGGGCCACTGTAGTTAGTATCAGTCGCGTAAGAAGGATACGGTGATAATAGATGAGGTACCCCGTGAAATTTGATCAAACATCTATCTGTTGTGAGACAGATGAGTGGTCAAGGGTAGGGTTATTGTTTACCCCCATTTCCAACAATCAAACGATGAATAGAATAATAATCGAGTAGAGATGAGAGGAAGAAATCTTAGATTAAATACCAAAATGTTAAAGAATTTCGATATAGGGTATGAAAATAGTTGGTGCTCTCTCTCACTCTACACAATGATGAATGCTTAATCTATCGCTCAATTAACTTCTCAATATGTTAGGTTTACATAGGGCAGCCCTCTTTGGAATACATATTGTACATCTTCGAACAACATGTATAACTGAAGCTCTTTAGAATCTGAATTTTGATTGTATGATGGACATTTGAAATTCTTCTTCCTTTTGAATATAAGCCACCAGATGACCCTCTTCATTTTTAGAATCTAAGTACAAACTAAGAGGTCTTCAGAGTCATAATACTCACTACATTCTTCCTCACCATCAAAGTCAAACTATAAAATATTGTTAGTACTCTTACTATTTACCCAATCATTTTGAGCCTCCTTTAATTGCCCATCGTTGTCATCGTTTAAATCTTCTTCACCCTCTAAGAAAGCCTGATCAT